CCGAGGTGCTTCACTTCCCAAGCTACTACTCGACCATGCTCCATCAGCTCTTTCACCTTGGCCCTCCTTTAACATCAGACCTGAATTCAGAAGAGCTTCAAGATTTTGCAAGACGTCTTGCGCTCTGGTAAATGATTTGGGGATGACAATACGCAATCTATGTACCATTACTGCCCGATTGACACGTTTTGAATTTTTGTTACGTTTTTTTTTTCCTCCTTGAAATAAACGGGGGGGGGGGGGGACAGTGGGGGGGTGCATTTTGCAGCCAGCCTTGTGCTTGTGGTGCTCCACTGAAAGCCACCAGATGGCACAAGAGGACCTGTTTGCTTACCCTGGTATCACACTGAGGGGTGCTCCGATTACAGGTGTGATCCGTTTGTTTCCAAGCTTTCCAATGTGTTTCAGCAGCATTCAAGGAGCTTCCTTACTGTCAGGTTCACAAGGTCCTGAAAAGCTATCAAGAAAAAAAAAAGGGCAGGTTTTCCTTGCCCTTCGGGGGCTTTTCAAATACTCTGCCAGCTGGATTCATGTTCTCAGGAAGACACATACTCTAGCATCTGAGAATACCTTTTCAGAATGCCTATGACAAGGCAGCAGGATCACTAGCAACAAAAGCATCTAGCCCACACACTAGGAATGTTTTTCTGTTAACAGCCATCAGGGCATGGCTATTACTGAGTCTGTTGTAAAGCCTCACAGATGACTAACACTTGTGATAAAACCCATGCAAATCATTGCAGAAATGCCCCTCGCCAGGAAGTCATCACACCTGACACTAAAGGGAAAATTTGTTCAGGCTGACAAGTTCCCATTAATCCCATACCCTGGCAACCAGCTGTTTCTCCAGCTGGTTCTTTCAGCTGGCAAGAAAACCATATATATTCCTGTATGGGCATTCATCAAAATGTTGCATGAGCCAGGTAAGGTAGCATACACACCTGTGATCCCAGCAGTAAGGAGCTGAGGCAGGAGGTCTGGTACAAGGCCAGCCTGAGCTACACAGTAAAGTCAAGACCAGCCTGAACTATATAATGAGACCTTATCTCAAAACCCCCCCCCCCAAAACCCCAAAACAACACTGCACAGCCTGGAAAATGTCAGGCTGCAGAATTCATCTCTTGGTCTTACTGAGTCAAGCTGTCCAGTGGCTCCCAAAAGAACCCCACTCCGACTCCTTTGGGACATTTCCAGGGGCTTTCTCAGGTAGCCACAGGCCAGGAGATGAAAGCTCCTCCCTTATCCTATGAAACCTTCCTGAGAAGAAAGTCTGGGTCAGAGACCAGCCAAGGAAATGTCCTTCCTCTTATCTCTCCCTCCAGGATGAGTCAAAGTGTGAGTAAATTCTCTTTTTTAGATCCTTGAGAAGACTATTAAATAAAAATATTAACGTCTGTGCGTTTTTGGAATATGCGTAACACTAAAACACATGACAATAGCAGCAAGGGTCAATGGTGGAAATGCAGCCCTGTGGGCTTCCATTCTCCCACTGGATGTGAAACACTACAGAATTACTTCAAGGTAGACTATGTAAGGCACTAGGGATGCACACTAGAGTGACTACTAAAAAATAACAGGCACAGCTGTAAAAAGGAAGTAAAATGAATGCTAAAGAACCGAACTTGGCCCTGTAACTCGCTTTGGCCAGTGAAATGAGGGTGGCATGTGTCATCTTGGAGTAGAACATTTGGGAGCCGGGAACTTAACCCTTGATGCTTTTTCTCTGCTTTGTGTTGAAATGGCTGCATTGCAGCTGGTGGTGGGAGGCCTACACAACATAGTGCATCCCACCCCGCTCACCATGCAGACATTAGTTGTGCAGCAGGGGAAATAAACCTGGAATTAAACCTCTGAGACTTTTGGTGCTGGTGAATACACCTGCTTCCCCAGAATAAAAATCCACTTGGTCATGATGTTATTTTTTAATGTGCTGATGGATTGTTTGAAAAACAAACTGTTCATTGATACGTCTGAGACCAATCCACTGTTTTCCTGTGCGTGTGGAATTTATTGGGATTGGATAGTAAATGTCACTCCCTACATTCAAGTTTGTGGCTGGTTTCCTACAGTCTGAAACGGCTTCAGAACACTGAGTATCTTTAAGGCTACTAGAATTGTTTCAACTGAGACTAGAGAGCTTTTAGGGGAAGAGAAGGGACAGCTCTGGGGTAATTTTGAGTTAACAGAAATTAGCCTGTTTTTACTTTATATCAATTTTCGTTAAGTAACTTTTCCATAGATTTGGCTATTTCATCTGGATTTTCTAATATATTTAGGGTTAAGCAAAGGAGGTGATTTCTTTTGAAAATTACTTCCTGGTGTGTTTGTGCTGCCTCTATTTGTAATCAGGCTTTCCAGTTTTAAATTTCTGTCCCCATCCCTCCCTACTGGGAATTGAACCCAGGGCCTTTACACTAAGCTGTACTCTAACCCTTTTCTGAGACAGGGTCTTGCTAAGTCATTCAGGCAGGGCTCAAATTTGGGATCCTCCTGGTTTGGCCTCCCAGAGTGCTGGGATTACAGGTGTGTAGCACTAAATTGTGCTTGTATTGTTCTTCAAACAACCTTATTTATCTGTTTCACCATTTGTTTTCTAACAAGTTCTTTGACTTTCTAGTAATAGTTGTTGGTGTTAAACTCTGATGCTCTTTCTCTCCGAGGGAAAAGTATGATGTCGAAATAAGTCTGGTGTCATTGCCATCTGTTATGGTTTGATAACTAGTGGTCAACTTAACGCCAGCTGGATTACATCAGCATGCATTGAGAGAAGATGCTCCACCTGAGAAGGGTTGCCAGGATAAATAGGTGGAGAAGAAGAGAGGTGTGAGAGGGATTGAGGCATTATGGAGGCATTGTTAGTTCTCCTACAAGTTGCTGTCTGAGCTGTTGGTTCTCCTGGAGAAGCATTGGTCTTCACATCGAGCATTGCTTCCTGGCTCTGGAGGGGAAGACATGTGCTGCCTGACCTCCAGGGTGAACTCCTCATGCTGCTTCCTGGCACGTTCCCGACTGTGCTTGTCGTCGGAGGAGCTCGGGGCCTCCGTGTCACTGAGGACAGCTGTGGTTCCTTTCAGGACAGCCCCACTCTTTGTTGTGAGTGTGACTTCTCGGCTCCAGTGTAGAACCCTCATCCTACTAGCACAGCTCCTTCATTCTGCTGGCATGGACTTTCTGGCTTCCACCGCTGACCCTTGGGTCTTCCCGGCACGAATCCGTAAAAGAGACTGGCGTGAGTCCTTGTGGGCCCTGGACTTCCAGTTGGACTCATGGAGGTGTTGTCCTGAGCTCTGGGTTTTTATCTGGACTCATGTGGGACATTGCCGTGGGGTTTAGGCTCTTGACTTAAATAATCTATGTCGTTGGTGTTGCGGATAGATTTCCTGCATTCTCCTGTATTAACTTTCAGTGACCATTATAAAAATATTATAAACTCCATGTCCTGACCTGAATTGTTCTCTGTGTATAACCCTTGACTACAACACCATCTAAATTTTTTCTTTTGGAAGCTAGTTTGGTCTTTCCCCTAGGGACCCAGAGGTTTTTGTTTTTGTTCTTGCAGTATTGGGAATCAAATCCACAGCCTTGTACATACCCTACCACACCCTACCAAGGATTTACACTCTTATAGTTTTACCAGGATCTGACACTTTTGACTTAACTTTCCTAATCTTATGTCTTTACAGTATTTATATTCAGGTGTTTTCCTTTGCAAAATGGAGGGAAGTTCTGAATTATCAGCTTATTTATTAATTTTGTTCCTTTTTTCAATATAAAGTTCAGTGTTGTTGACAAGACTTTAACAAAAGACCAGAAACTATAAAATCTCTACAAGAGAATATAAGGAAAAACTTTCATTACATCAGACTGGCAATTTTTTGGATGTGAGTTTAAATCACAGCCAACAGTAGCAAAAATAAACAAATAGGACAACAGTAAACTTAACAACCCCTGTACAGTAAAAGAGAATGAAACAAATGAAAAGGTAACCTAAAAGGGAAAATATCTGTAAGGCATGTGTCTGATAAGGGATTAACATCAAGAATATATAAAGAACTTCCCCAGCTCAACAACAGACACCAGAATAACCCAACTAAAAGCTGGACCAAGAACTTCAAAGAAGACATACAGATAGTCATGGTCAACAGGTACACAAAATGATGCTCAGTATCATTTGCCATCACAAAAAGGAAAGCCAAACTTAGTCTTGCTAGTTTAAAAAACCAAAACCAAACGGTTGGGTGTGGTGGTGCATGCCTGTAATCCCAGCACTCAGCAAACTGAGCTAAGAGGAATGCCATAGCTTGAGGCCAGCCTGGGATACATAGCGAGATCCTGTCTCAAAAACACAAACCAAAACTGGAATGCTATCTACTACATGTAGTAGAAATCCAAAAATGGTGCAGTTGTGAGGGAAAACAGTATGGAAGATCCTCAAAAAATATAATTAAGACGTGATTTAACAATCTTACTTCTGTGTACACAAAGTCATCAAATCAAGGTCTCAAAGGGATCAGCATTCCTGTGTTTACTGCAGCATTTTTCACAACAGCCAAGACATGGGAGCAACATAATGTCCATCAATAGATGAATGCATAAAGAAAATGTGGTACAGGCATAAAAATACTATTCGAGCTGCAGAAAAAGAAATCCTGCCGCCTGTGACCACTTGCAGGACATCATGTGAAGTAAGGTACAGGGCATGACTGGACACCTCACTTTCATGATGTTTTTAAATCACTCACAGAAGCAGAGAACAGAAGGGTGACTGCTGAGGGCAGGGAAGGAGGACTTAGGGAACTGCTCCAAGCCCCTTCCCTTCTGCCTCCTTTCCTATCCACGCCAGCTTCCCTGGTTAAGCCTTTGCTGATGTTTCTGGGCCCTGCTACTGTATGGACTCCTCCATGCTATGGGCAAGCATTTCTCCTAAGGCTGATTCACTCTGGCTCAGTTTGGTCATCTGTACTTGACTCCAAAGACTGCTGTAAGAAATAGTCAAAAGCTCGGTATTTAAAACTTTTATTTTCTCAGTTTTGGAGACCAAAGTCCAAAATCTACAAAGGTCATACTCCCTGCAGTCCTCAGCACTCTCCACATGTGGCTTTGAGCTCTGGCCCAGCCCATGCCTGCACCATGCGACAAGGTGCTAGATGTTCCTGGAGTCTAAATGCACAGATTCTATGACAGGGTCTGCTGTTCAGGAGCCTCCTGGGCTCAATTCCTGTGTGTTTGACACTTAAAATTCTTACCAAGCAATCTCTGTTTAAAAAAAAACCACAAAAAGACGGGTGATTTGTCCATTTAAGAGGCAGCCATCAGGGGATGGAAAATGTGAGATAATGCACAAACTGCAAAGGCTACAGAGCTAACCTTCAGCCTACTTCATTCTTCAGAAATGCCTGAAAAAGTTAAGAAGCCACCAAATTCACAGAGGCAGAAATAAGCACATGGAAAAGTTTCCAGCAAATAAAGAGGTGTGAACCAAAGCTGGACCATGACCTCGTCGTCTCTGCCTGTTCTGAAGAAGGCATCAGGCAGTCTGCACACAGCAAAGCGACTGTAAGCTGCTGGCTTTCCTGGGCTTCTTCCCTTCCTTCCTCTTTCTGGTAAGGGGAACCACTAGAAGGGAGAAGTGGTTGCCTCTATGGCATAAAAATGACTTATATACAAGAAATGCCTCCCACTGCTGGGCATTCACACAATTTCTGAATAAATTCAGAAGAATAAAATAACTACAACAATAACTTTCTCAAGTTTTTAAAGCAAAAGATTTTGTAACCCAGTAAGAGTAAGTCCTGTGCCTTCTGTACACCTCTGGCTTCCACCTGTCTTCCTGAAACTAAAGCCATAGCTCATGTACAGTTAGTTCCACAGACAGCAGAAGGCCACTCCAAGTCCTTTTTACAGTAATGCCTCTTTCTGTTTTCCCTTGGAGAAGTCTACCTTGTAGCCACATGTGACCACCTGTGCTGGATACACCCAGCAGAGTCGCTGTCCCACCACGATGCTGAGGTGGCCCAAGGGCAGTGTGTGCAGGGCTACTCTCTGCAGGGCGTCTGCTAGGCCTCCCCAGTGCCGCTTCCACTGGCCCCTGAGCCTTTGCTAGATGCTGGGGCTTCTGAAGCGCGTGAGGCCTGCTTGGGCAGGCGGATGGGGACACAGATGTTCGAGGCACAATGCTCCTTGAAGTACTCTCCTCCCTTTTCCTCATATTCTTTCCTGGTGACCCAGGCTTCAGCATCATCCAGGTGGTCCAAAGCCCAGTCACGAGCACCATACCAGGCATCCAGCACAGGGTTCGAGGCAAGCTGAACCTGAAACGAGAAGTGAGTGCTCACTAGAAGGATGCTAGGCTCCAGGCATGAGTATTCAGCAGGCTCAGGTACAGCCCTCTCTTTCCTCAGAAACACACAATCAGAAGGGACCCACTGCACTCCGGGATGTTGCAGGACTGTCTGCACCCTCTGAGCTAAGATGAGTGTGTGTCCCAACCCTCATGACAACAAGCAGTAACATCGCCCTAGGCACAACTGCACTGGACAGATGATGTTTCTGCCAGTGCAAGTCCTGCCACTCTGGGTCAGAGAGACCAGCTGCCAGGCCTCCTGCTTCACAATGCTGCCAATCACAAGTGCCAGGAGGGGAGAGGCGGGGGTGATACAAGGCAGCTCTGACCATGGCAGCAAAAGCACCATAGGAGAAATGACAGCCGGGTAATTGGTACATTCTTTGTGATGCTCATGCCAAGGCTTAGTTGTCGTTGCTCTGACGGACACACCTTGGGGAATGGCAGTCCAGCAAGGCTTCCCCTGCAAGCCTCACCACTGAAGGAAACACTCAAGCTCAAATCAGGGCCTCCTTTTTCAGGGGTCACCTGCCTCACTCTCCACACAGCTTGCCTCCCTCCAAGCACGAAGCTCCAGGTGATCTTAGAAACTGTGAAAGAAGAGGCCACACAAAACAGCAGCAGAGGGAGGAAAATGGGGCAAGAGAAGTACAAACTTTGGAGTCCAAGTGCCTGGGAAGGCACACAGCAAGGGTCTTTTCATAAGATCGGAGAACATGCTAACAAGTAGATAACCCACCAGGACAAGCTGGTGAAGAGCGAGACAGTTGGCATTCTGCCTGATACAGAGCAGTCAATAAATGAGGCTCTGTGTGGTAAGACACACAGAAGTCTACAGTTAATAACAAATTATTACAAGGCCATAGAAATGTGTCTACTGATAAAGAAAAACTGTCACAGTAATTACAAAGTTAAAAAAAACAGGACTACCAAACAGTCAAAAAAAAAAAAAAAAAAACATGTCAACAATCTTTTAGTTAAAATCATACATATAAGAAAATGACCTGAAAAAATATATATGAATAACTACTCACAGAGGCTAAAATTACAGAAATTTTTGGCTTAGATTGTCTGATTTTTAGTAACATGCTAGTGTTTTGCTATTAAAGAAAAACCACCTTCATTTTGGGACTCAGCCTTAGAGCCTTGTATGTGCTGCACAAGCACTATACCACTGCTCTGCATCTCCAACCCCCAAACTGTTCTTTTTAAGACAGTGAGTAAAAGCATCTTGGGATTCTCTGCCTTCTAAAGCTCATCCAGGATCTACACGGTTTGCACGGTCAGGCCACTGCCGTCATATCATCTGAACTTGGACCTGGGGCTAATGAGCAATGCTGAAGGGAACACCAGAGCTGGGGAGAGATGAGGTACCACGGCTTCACCACAGTGAACCACCTGCCACCCTGCATCACCTGCCAGCCAGAGCCAAGCCCCTGCGACACCTCCCAATGTCACTCTGCTTGAGCACAGCGACCCCTCCAGGCCTCCTGCCCCTCACTGCTGCCCCTTTCTTACTCCATCAAGTGCATTCTACGGGCACCTACTGCTCTTAAAAGCTGTGGTCATTTATGGCTTCCAAGTGAGCCTGACCTCACTGGCTCTTCCAAACAGTGCCCCCAGCACGGGCACAAGGGATGCGAATCTACTCTTCTCCACTCCTGGGCACCTGGCAGCTGCCTCTGGCACTTCTTCCTCTGCGAACTCGGCCCACCCTGCAGCAGTTCAATTTCCCCTTTAGCCTGCTCCAGTGAACAAAGCATTTATTGAACTCATTCCATATAAAACTTGAGACTTTGCTAAAGTCCAAATCCTCTCCCCAAATCCAATCTATTACCAGTTCTGAACATTATATTCCCTTTAAAAAAATCTATTAAAATTCATTTATTTATTGTAGTTATAAGGACTGAACCCAATGCATTTGAACTATATCCCTAGCTTTTTTCATTTTGAGACAAGGTCTCTCTTCTCACTAAGGGTCCAGGTGAGGTCTGAACTTGCAATTCTCCTGCCTCAGCCTCCTAGAGTGCTAAGATTATAGGTGAGTAACACTACCCCCAGTCATACTCCCTTATATCTCCTGCTAATCACTTCCTTCCTTTCCCTCTGCCATTTGCCTTATTTCCTTCCTATACAGTTACAAATGACAAGATGTCAAAGGACAGGAGCACACTTCGGCTCCTTCCCTAAGGCAGGTGAGCCTGTAAGTAATATAGACAGGGAAGGCTTCCTGAAGGAAGAAAAATGAAGACTGGAATGAGCTAGGAAAAGTACTCTGTGCAAAGAGAACTGGCAAGTCTCAGGAATGATCAGCAGCTTACTATGACTGAAGCACAGGATGGCAGTGATAATGACCAAGGGTTACTCAAGGTCACATCAGAAAGGACCATGTAAATTGCTGATCAGCTAGCAATTAGGGTTGGATCCCAAAGGCTGGGGAGTAGCCTCCTAACTGGTCTCCTGCTTCCAGTATTTTTTGTGATACTCCATTTTCCACACCACTGTCAAAAATATTTTCCTAAAATGTAAATCTATCACATGCATCCCTTATTCCTACATGGTCTCTCATGGCCTAAAGAAACAGCTGTAGAAAGAAGAGTTCACACGGCAGACCTGCCTCCTATCCTAGGAGAGCCTGTTAACAAAGCAGGTCCTTAGCAGGCATCAACAGGGTTCTCATCACTACCAGATGAGAGGGGCACCTATGCCATTGTACAATGTGGTCTACTCTGAACACCTGCTTTTCTTCTGCACTCCTAGAAGGTTAGTGTGCTCCAGGAAGGGGGCACCTATCTGATCGATCCCCCTCACTCTGCTTAAGTTTCCTGAGAGCTTCCCTGGCTAACAACATTTCATATGCTGGCACAACTTGATGGAGAAATTAAGTAGATTCTGTGCAACTCTACCGGGACAAGAGTCTGGAAGCCTGCATGCTGTCTGTCTGCTGGTCTTGTTCTGCACCTTTTCGGTATTATAAGCTATAGGTATGCATGACTATACACTGAGGTTGGTGGGTCCTCCCAGCAAACCAAATCTGCAGTTGTTTTAGAGATCCCCTCACCCCCGCAATATCAGCTACTTCACAGGGTTTATACACATAGGTCCTGTGCTGAGCACTTGATATCCAGGGTAATGAATCCTGGCAACAAGTACTATGATAACCCGCTTCTTACCACTGAGAATACTGGGGTTCAGCAAAAGACAGCAGTAGTGGTGATGGAGTAGAGACCAAAGCCCAAGCTCGCATGTTGAATGTATAAAACATCACGCAGCATAGGAGATCAAGGCCAAGCTTCTGATCAGAATGATGGGCTTTGTGCCTTGTGCACCCTGCTGATCTCTCCATCTTTTCTGACTCCAACCGTGCTTAGCAGCCACATACTCCAGCCACACTCACTTCTTTCTCCTTCCCTCAACAAGCTCTTAAGCTGCACCTTCGATCACTCTATCCTTTCTCTCTGGAATGCCCTCTCCGGCCCCATTCCACACAGTACTGATGCCAAACACCTACGGCTCTTACAAGATTCTGTTCCAAGCCTCCTCTGCATGCCAGTGGAGACTTTCATGTGCCATGCTGCATGTCCACTGCACTCTGGGTGACCACAGTCAAGTGGTCACCCAGACACTATCCCACAGAGAGTTTCTTGCCGCTAGGGGCTGTCTAGGACGTCAGATCAGCATCCCTACAGTGCCCAGCCCAGCCCACATTTCTTGGTAATCAAGAAATTTGATAGTAAATTGCAGGCATTCATATAGCAGTCATTCAAGTACAGTGTTTCAGAAAACTGACATGGGCAAATGTTCATGACAGGTTAGGAAAACTCAGACTTAGATAGGGAAAATGACTTATTCTCAATGTACACTCAATTCTATTATAGGCAAACCTTTTTTCAATTAAAATATAACAGTACGCAAAATAATTCTGATTCTGCTTCTAAAACTAAATGTAGGTTAGACTAGAAGGAAAGTCACAAAAAAAGTCAACAGTGAGTATCTCTGAATGATGGACTATATAGCAATTTTTCTTGTTTACACTTTTACTTTTACAATAAAAAGCAATTAATGGCATTCTCCAAATGGTCAGTTAAAGAACAGCCAATACCTGGAAGGAAGACTGGAAGGGCCTCATCTCCAGCAGCTCCTTCTCAATTCGAGCTTTCATCCCAGGATACATCACGTTCCCACCAGTGAGAAAAATGTTCTGGACCAGCCTCTCCTGAGTATCTTTTGAGTACCTGGGAGAGAAATGGTCCTCTGACTTAATTATTTAATGACTATAGATGCCACAAAACAAAAAATACTCAAAAAACTAACAACAAAAAAAAAATCCCTTATATTTTTTTATTCACATCTCTTATGTCAGTCTAATGTTTCTAATTATCTAGTCAAAACCTTAATTTGGTTAATATATTACCTTAACATAATTAGAATGCTTGTGCTTTCATGATAGGTCTTTTAAAAATCAACTGTAAGTGGTGCACACCTATAATCCCAGTATTCAGGAGGCTGAGCAGGAGGGATCATTGTGGAGTTTGAGACCAGTCTGGGCTACAAAGTGAGCTCAAGGGCAGTCTGAACTGCACAGTGTGACCCTGTCTCAAAAAGATTAAAAAAAAAAAAATCAACTTTACACTGGATGTGGTGGTGCACACTCATATTCCTAGCACTTGAGAGGCTGAGGCAGGAGAATGAGTACAAGGTCAGCCTTGGCTACACAGTGAGTTCAGGGTCAGCCTGAACTGCATAATGAGACCTTGTCTCTCAAAAACAAAACAAAAAACTTCATTGCAGATTATAATTTACATACATCATGATAAAGGCTGACACAATTATATACCTCAGGAACCAGGAATACAATCAAGATAAATTTTCATCATTCCAAAAAGTTCTGTCTTCCCTTGGATTGAAGGTTCATCTTTCCATCTGTCTCTTTCTTTTGGTTTTGGGGATGAGATCTTGCTCTGCTGCCCAAGCTGGTCTCTAACTCTGGGCTCAAGTAATCCTCTCATGTCGGCCCCTGAGTAGCTGGACCTCCAGGGACGTGCTACCATATTCAGGTTCTTTTTAATAACATTTTTTTTTGTTCCACATGCTTAATTACTTTCCCACCCATTACTAAGAAAACGCTCAAAGCCACTCAAACAAAGAAGTGACAAAAAGTTTTTTCTTTGCCAGGTGGATTTTTCATTTTCATTCTATCACGACCAAAAGTAGCCAGAGTACCAGAAAGTTGCTCCTTATTTGTCCAAATGAATTATAAAAACTCATACTTGGAAACATGTTGGGGGTAAGCAGATAAAGGGGGCACCTTTATAGAAATGTAAACACTTGTATAAATGCAGTATCATGAGCATGAAAAAAGCTTTCATAAGCACTGCAATATTCTGGGGAATTTAAAATCACTAGTCTTTAATAATGTGAAATTTTACATAAAAGCCAGTACACCTTACTGTGTTGCTAAAACCTTTACTGTACCCAGGAAGACTATCTGAATACAACTAAACAGTGAGAGAAGAGCAAGGCAGATTTCCCACAGACCCAAAAAACCAAATCTTTTTGATGCAAAACTCAAGGCAACGGCTCAGAAAAGTATGAGAGAGAGAGAAAAGTGTCTTTTATCTTACCTGTCCAGAATGTATTGAAGAGTCTCCGCTATCCCCGCCTGTTCCTCTCCTATGAGAGATGGCTGGAAAATGATTTCTGGGGCTCGAATTCTTTCTGTCCCAACAAACAGCTGATGATATGCTGCCAAGTTAAACACGGGCTTTAAAAACCCAAAGTTTAAGAGAGATTTTTAGACCATAATGACAACTATCCCAACTGCCAGTTTTCTCAAACTGCATTTCTTAAGCCAGTGTAGTTTCTGTCCTCTATTCATTCCTGAAAAGCCTCAACTCCCTGGACTTGAAGATTCAGTTTTCTACCTTCACCCAACCTCTGAAATGTAAGTTCCCACACACTGCACCATCCTATGGTCCCTGAACCGCAGGAAGGGACTTCACACCAAGCTGCATTGAAAAAGCCAGAGGGAAGACCACGTCTCCACCCTGTGCCTGGTTGAGCCTTCCTGGACTTTGCACAGTAAGAACTCACTCTTCCTGGGAGTCTCAGATTAGGCTGCTGCTCTAAGACAAGGAAGTACAGTGGCTTCAATGTAAACAAAAGCAGTGAAAGCCATTTGCGGGTCTAAAGACTCTAACTATTTTTGAAAAGTTAGGTAAAAGTTTCTTCCAGGTTCACAAACTGTGGCATAGGAACCTCAATCAATCGCAGGGAAAAATCCCTGACTCATACTGTAAGTATCTTTTCTATAAACTGTAACTGGGACTTAAAATATATATTCCTGAAGAAGCGGACTGGACTACTTATTTATGTCCCCAGCTTCCAAGTGTGCACATGACACAGTAGCAGGAATCAAACCTGGACAGTGGTGATGGGCTTCTCTACTTCAGGTGCTTCCTCTGAAAACAAGGGCTCAAAATCATTCATGCTTTCCACGTCTTCCAGAGACGGCTCTAGCTGCTCCAGGTCAGGGGTCTGAGGACAGAACAGAACAGAATATACAAAGGAACTTGGATTCCCAGCAGGCCTTTCTTCTGTCAATTCGCTGTCATGAAAATGAATTAGGATCTTGCCTAATGTTTCAAAAGCTTACCAAAAAAACTATGAACATTTTCTAAACTATTAAAAAAAAAAAGCCCACGCAGGAACAGCCTGAAAAATCTTTCCTAGTTATATAAGCCTCACCAACTCCTGGCTCCTCTGAAGCCTTCTGACGGTGCCAACTCCAGGCTGGGCTCCATGGAAGACAAGCTGCAAGCACCAGCGACACCATCACACACACATACTTCCAAGGGACAGGGTATGACAGAGGGTGTCCTACAGAGGAGCTAGACTATCACAAATTAAATACATTTCTTCATGAGTAATAAATACAGGTGCCAACACCAGAGGTCTTATGATTAGTCCTTTGCCAGCAGGTCCTACTAGTTTAGTACCAAACCAGGTACAGGGCAGGGACTTATACTTACATAACCTGCACTGCGGAAGTCACTTCTGCTCCTCTAAGTGGGGACGCTGTGGCTCAGACAGGGGAAGTAACCCACCCAAGGTCACAGCACATGAAACTTGGCAGGGGACAGAACTGCTCAGCTCCAAAGTCTCTTTTCAGCCTTTTGCTGGAATCCTAGAAATCAGGAATCTGAGCATGAGGACACAACTGGGGCTTTACTAGTATTTAAGATCTAGCCCAAGGTCAGGCAGGTAAAGACAATGAATGAGTAAGAGATTTTACTTGCAGCAGAAAGAGCAGCTGACATCAGTACATGTTTCTGCCCAAGCAGGGGTATGAGAGCACATTCCCCTTATAGCTCACACCCAGTGATTTGAAAGACACTCAGCAGTCCTCACAAGAGAGGAACCCTGTCTCTGGAAGTACCTGTGCCAATTCAGGCTTGGCACTAAATTCAGCACTTCAGAAAAGACCCCAGAGGGGTTCCAAGAGAGGACCAGGGTATACTGCCAAACCTCCCTTTCTTCGAGAACATCCAGGGGGCAAGATGATGTAACACAGCAGTCAGCCCTGAACGTCAGCCAAAGACACAGAGGTCACTGTGGCACCACTGGCAAGGTGTGCTATACCTCTCCATCTTTAAGCAGGGCATGAACCTGTGGCAGTGTCCACCTGGGGCAGCATAAGCACTGAACATGTCTGCTTGTCTGTCTGTCTGTCTGCCTGCCTGCCTGCCTCCCTTCAATACATAAGTCATTTGGCTCCTTCAATAACTCAGCTGCATTACTAGGCTGGAGATAAATAAATGTTGTCTATGAATTTAAAATAATTACACACAAAACCTATGACCTGTAAGCAATAATGGATGAAGCACTAGGTCTCTTCCTGTGTAGACCACTGTTCTCCTTACCCTATGAAGGAGACAATTACTAGAAAATGGAATTTTCATTTCTTCCCCTTAAGTCTCAGCAGGAGCTCATGATGAGTCCAACCAACAAGTATCAGGCAAATGCTGTTAAGTGACTTCCGAGGACAGTCATGAAAGGACATGCAGCTTTTTACACCAGGACCCACTTCAAAAACCCTCCTATGACCACCGGTGCGCTCTGCCTGCCCTGCATCTGTAATGCCTCCACACTAAGGTTTCAACAGACCTCACCAAAACGCCCTCCCAAATGGAACATGCCATGGAAACCATGATGTTTACATTTTACAGACTGGCTGCGAACAAATGCTACTTAACAAAGACGGACCTGAGAGTACTCATAGAAAAGGAGTTCCCTGGATTTTTTTTGATAATCAAAGATTCTCTGGCTGTGGACATGATCATGAAACACCTGGACCAGCGCAGAGATGGCAAAGTGGGCCCCCAGAGCTTCTTTTCACTAATTGCGGGCCTCGCCACTGCGAGCAATGATTATTTTGTAGTACACATGAAGCAGAAGGGAAAGAAGTGAGCAGACATGAACATTTACTCCTACCCTAACGAGAGTTCTCCCAAGGGGCCACTTAAGAATCTGTCCTTCAATTTCCCCTTGTATAAAGATTTCATCAGCAGATCAGGACCCTTAGAAAATGTACAAATAACATCCAGCTCTCACTGGACAAGCAAAAAATGGAATGTTACTTAAATGCTTTTGACTTTTGTATTGTTTGGCATCCTCGTGCCCTCAATAAAGCTTTTTAGTTCAGAAAAAAAAAAAAAAAACCTCACCTGTATCTGATATATTTCAGTACAGTCACCAAAGTATGGTTCTATATATCCCCTTCCCTTATTCTGGGTTATCCAAGAGGGCAGGAACTATATCTTAATCACTTCTGCATCTCTGGTGTCCCATCAATATATTGTACCTGGAACTAAATGGTAGATCTCTGAGATCCACCTTCAAATTTCCCCAGAACACAGAAGATTATAAAACTTTGGATTGTAAGAGACTTCTTCACCTACAGTGAAAAAAAATTTTTTATGTGTGTCTTTTTGAGACAGAGTCTTACTACACAGTTCAGGCTGGCCTTGAGCTCACTTTGTAACCTAGGCTGGCCTAGCTACACTCAAAAGCATGTCACCTTACTAATATAATTTCTTAGCTTCATTAGAAATGGTTAAAAGAATGTTTACTTACCACAATTCATATGAGTCACAGAGAGCAACAAAGCTGGCAATTTCAACACAAAGAATATGCACCCAACAAAGAAGAGACTTCTCTACCACAGCTAGTCCCCTTCCCGCAGGGCTTGCCAGAGAACCCGCACATACTGTGCAGTGTTCAGGAACATTAATATGACTGTCGCTTTTCAGCTGAACAGGGTGCATTTGCCAAAGCACACCAGAGAACTTTGTGTATTTGGCCCCTGTGTTTTCCAACAAATAATGATGCTCTAAAACTCTGTTCTCTGCCTTCTGCCCTCTCACGCTGTGCTTGTAGCTATGAAAAGCAAACAACCACCCTCTAGTTTAAACACTTCATTAACAATGCTAACAAAGCCTGCTCCTTTATGACACCTCATGGGAATGATTTCAGCAAGGACCAAAACAGACCAGTCTGCAAGAAAAACCGTTAGAAACACTGCAACTTCCCAGTCATATGAATCCAATCCTGCCATTAATGCTCAAGTAGAGTTTCAATATGAATTTAGGTCCACATCCTGTACATCCATTCACTTAATTCTAAATGAATTATGTAGTTGGAAAATATGACAAATACTTTTTGAAAGGCAGAGCTAGCTTGCCAATGCCATGGTCAAATCCATCTCATTACTGTGCCTGTAATTGACTCTAATCACTAACAATCACCCTCAATAAGTGCTAACATCATTATAACTTTGATGATAGATCGTTACATCAAATCTATTTATTGAGAAATCTTTTGAAGAACATGTCAAAGTTTCCCCTAGACCAAGGAGATAAGTCATATGTCCCCAGAGTACAAAACAAACTGAGCACTAGGAAGCACCTATGAATAGAAAAGTAACTGAATCATACCACATAACAAATGCAGAGAAATGAACAAAAGAAAACTTAGTTCCCCAATTGCTCAGGAATCTTACCTTCACAATTGTTTTTTCCTTCTTAAATCTGATATTCCCTACCAGCTTGTGGCTTCAGAGTTTAACTCCAGTATAAAGAAGCTCAAGTCCTACTGACACGTTAAACACATGCTAAACTACAAAATATGGATGAATATACAACAGAGACAAAACGGTCTTGGATCTGCATAAATTGAAGCTCTGAAGCATGAGCCCATCCTCGGGGGGAGCCAGAATGGAAAAGCAGCAAGTGAACAAAACACAGGCCCAAAGCCTAGGAAAGGAAACAAAACAGCACAGTGACTCAGGGGAAGCTGCTGTGGGATGCTATGTGGGAATGAGACACTAGCAAATGCCCCTTACTGGCAATGATCCAGGGAGATATCTAGTAAATCTAGCTCAGGATCTGGCCTGTAACAAGCATATTTACAGACAGCTACTGGTCTTGCACAGTCTGAAGCCTCTCAACAGAGGTAGAGAATGCAATGCTGGGAGCAGGGACCAAGGACAGCCTCTAGCCAGGAGCCTGTGCTACAAAAGTGAGCTTCATGTTAAGCCAAAGACAATGCATCACTGATGAGGACCATACTACTTTCAGTGTCAAAAGACACTGAGCTTGGATTTTGTTTTTCTTCTGACTTGGGCTTTTTAATACTACTACTTCTTTCTAAAAACACAGGCAAATCCCAGTACTCAGGAGGCTGAGGCAGAAGGACTGCCAAGAGTTTGAGGCCAGCCTGAACTACATAGCAAGATCCAGTCTCAAAAACCCATCAAACAAACAAGTTTAAAGAAAGTTGATTTAAAAACAAAAAAGAAGGCTGGGGATATAGCTCAGCGGCACAGTACCTGCCTGGCAAGCTCAAGGTCTTGAGTTTGATTTCTAGTACAAAGAAAGAAAGAAAGAGAGAGAAAGAGAGACTGACGGACAGACAGACAAAAACAAAAAAGAGCTAATTCGGTTAATTCTGCCTCAAGCATGTCACGAAGCAATGATTAAATTCCTTTGTTTTGAAACTCTAAGATAACCAATTCAGTTCGAGACCTAAAGCCAAGAGATTTTGCCAGTGATTTCGGCACTGAGTGGCCTACAGGCCACACTTCACCAGACAGGCCCCAAGGTGTCAGGATCTAAGTTACCCAGGGCCTAAGCTCAGGTCTGCCATCTGCACTTTTGGCCACATCAACAGTTAAGAGTCCACTGCTAGAGAACAGATAGAAGAGAGAGAAAATTAAAGAGCTTATTCAGAGTTAGCCTTTAGTATTTAACAAAAAGCTGAACTTAGTCGATCTACAAACATTACACAGAGCATATCTCCTAATTGCTGTATGTAAATCATCAACTGTGTGGAGTATGCACTGTCCTTAGGGAACATCAAGATGGAAAGGAAGCAAGTAAATGATCAACCACAGTATTTTAAAAACAAGAGTTAAACAAAGACCAGGACTACCAAATGACAAGCAGGTGGTAGGTCCAGAGACAAGACAGCACAAACTGGTGTGTAAACGTTCTTCCTTGTCTATATGCATATATTCCCCCTGCCAGGGGTGGGATCCGTCTAGTCAGAACTTCAGTTTGCACAAGATCACTGCCAGGGTTTCCCACTACCCACATTCCTAAAGACCACACTCATCACACTGGTCTCTTTTCCCTCCAGGCTTGGTCACTGATGCCACCCTCTGATGCCAGCCTTCTAGAGATACTCCTCTGCCTCAGAAGGGCAGGTTCCCCTCAGTCACCTCTGGCTTAGTGTCCACCACGTCCACTTCAAGGTTGACTTCAGCCTGAAGGGTTTTCTGCTTTGCCTGCTCCACTGCCAAACTGAGCTTTTGTATGTAGGACTGCAGCTCTTCTGGGGAGTCCATGTTCAGCTCTATCAGAGCTTTGTGAAACTGATCCATCTGGCCATCCTCCAGGAGCTCCTAAAACCAGAGCAGTTATAACACTGTGCAAACACAAGCAAGGAGTAAAGAGAAAAGCTGCAGCAGGAGGGGCTGCCAGGGCTCCCCTAGCCTGCCCACCACAGGTCTACAGCTCCGGCAACAGTTCATTCGACTGCCCTCATCTCCAGCTGTCTGGGGACTAGCAGTGCACAACTAATTTATGGTGACAGATGCCAGAAATGCTATCACCTTTGGGGAAGTAATTATGGACTGAGAGGAGACAAAAGGAAGCTGGGTGATGCTGTTTTCTGGCAGCAGACACAGGTATGAAAATCCATACTTAAGATTTGTATGCTTTGTGTCATGCACACTACACTTAAATCAAAAAACCAAAAAAAGGGGGGGGGGCGCTGGGGATTTAGCTCAGCGGCATAAGCACCTGCCTGGCAAGTGTGTGGTCATGAGTTCAATCCCCGGTACCGATAAAAAAAAAAAGAAATAAAGGTAACTACATGGCAAACACAAATCAGAAAGGCTAGAGTCCACAGCCCTTTCAGAAACACCTCCTGCTATACTATATTCTACACTGATAAACACAATCCCATGAACTCCTTTTTAACTCCAAAGGTGACTTTCAAGGCAGACTTCATGACTAAGAAAAAATATAGAGGAAGAAAATTTCCTTAGAACCACGCATCTGCCATCACCTGCACATAGAGCAGTCGGTCCAGCCGCTCCTGATCCAGCTGCAGCTTCTCCTCCCGCCGCCGGGCATTGAGCTCCTGCAGCCGCCGCAGTTGCTGCAGCCGCCTCTCTTGCTTTTCCTCAGATGTCAGAGTGCTGCCCAGAAGCTTGCTGGAAAACGGGAGCTGCATCTTGTGGACATTGTTCTCATAATAATCTGGGCACCGCCACTTATGCAATTCTTCAAAGAACAATTTTGAAAGTTATGAAACAGACACACTATCAACACAAAAATCAAAGTCAATACCAAGCCTAGCATGAAGGAGGCCCTGGGTTTGACCTCCAGCACTGAAAAAATAAAGAAAAATAAAAATCAATCCCATGATTCTAGCTAGACACAGGTAAGATGAAGAAAACATACCCTTGCCAATTCTCAATCCATTCAGTCCACTAACGCAGCCATAAAACCTGGACTTTTGCAAAAAGACCTGCTAGTGCTTGCTCCGGCAGCACATATACTAAAAGAATTGCTAAATGAAACTTTTCAAATGGCCACCCTACTAGATAGAAGCCTGGAACACCAAGAATACAGGGAAAATAATAAAAACGATGAAAATCTGGTAAAATACAACAGAACAGTCTGATCATGAATTCTTTAAAATGTTTGATGACTCGATCTAAAAATTCTATCACTGTACTCCAAGACACTGAGGTGGGAAGATCACAAGTTCAAACCCAGCCAGGGTTAGTGACTTAGACCCTGAAAAAGCACTGGGGAGGTAGTTTAGTGAGTGCGAAGACCCTGTGCTCAATCCCAAGTACCACAAAAATAAATAAAATTAAAATTTAAAACAAACTATCACTGAGAGTGCCCAATGTATGTAACTCCAACATACGTAAAGAAAGATCAAAGAGTTTAGTGCTAATATCCCTACATTCTGCTGGAAGCAGTCAACAGTGATCTAGGTAGAAAAGTTTTATTTACTGTAACCTCCAAAGTACTAAAAAAAAAAAAGTAAAAACACAGTTAAGAGTAAAAAAACAGAACACAAAAACTAGAATGGAATAACAAAAAGTAGAGCCCAAATAACCTAAACATTAGGATACAGAAACAAAGGAACAATAAACTGAGGGAACAACAAAAAACAAACAATAAAATTTTGGACCTAAATCCAAACATGAGTAAGTTAATTCTAAATGTCTATAATATACCAGGTAAGAATGTCATAATGGACTTTTAAAAAAACAACTCAACTACTAAGAAACTAACTTTGAATACTGTGGTAGATAACTGACTTTTAATATTGGTAGATACAAAGTAAAAGGATTTAAAGATGTATCACGCAAATTCTAATCAAAAGAAAGTGAGAGTGGCTAATTAATGCTTAAATAGACCTCAAAGTAAAGAAAACTGCCAGGGATAAAGAGAAACATCACATAATGATAAAAGGTCAACACAGCAATAAGATATTAAGAATGCTAACCATGTGCCTAACAAGTCAGATACCTGGAAGCACAAACTGGCAGAACTGGGCTAGGATGTAACTCATGGCGTGGTACTTGCCCCAATATAAGAATAAAAACAAAATGCCCTAGAAAACAAATTCATTGGACTGTAAGGAAAAGTAGGGACATGTACCATTTCACCTAACAGCTCAATGTACTTTCCGCAGTATAGGGAGAGCTAGTAGAAGGGAAATGAACAGGGATAAAGAAGAGCTAAACATCACCATGAACCAACAGGTGTGAGTGACACCACAGAGCACAACACATCTTTTTTCAAGTATATAAGAAACTTTTGCCAAAGTTGACTATATCCTGGGTCACAAAACAAAAAATTAGTATCAGACAAAAACTATAATCAAGTTAAACTAGAAATAGATCATACAGAGTTAACAGGAAAATCCCCAAGCATTTGTACACAAAGCAACACTTTTTAAAATAATCAATTACTTAATAAGTAGTCTGAAGGAAATTCAAAAATATCTAAAGTCAGTAAGAATATATGAAAATTTGTGGGATGCAGATAAAGCGGTACTGACAGGAAAATCCACAAAATTAAATTTTTCTAAAGAATGATATAATAATCTAAGCTTCTATTTTGGAAACAAACAGGAAAATGCAAGTAGAATAATAAAGAGAAGACATCAATGAGGTTACCTGAATAGTCTGGGTCTATTCGAGAAATTACATTCACAGTTAAGAACCTTCAGAAAAAGAAATTCCTAGGCTAAGTTTAAATGGCACCACTAGAAAATTCTACCAAACATTTAAAGACAAAAGCAAACTTAAATTATTTACATAATCTTTTCAGAAAATAAGAAGGCACTTCTCAACTCATTTAATGAAACCAGTATTATCCTGACACTAAAAGATAGTACAAGAAAACCACATGGCAATATCCCTCATGAATATAGACTCTGAACGACCCATGAAATAGTACCAAATCAAATATAGCAACATACAAAGAATACAAAACAAAACCAAAAACATATATATAGAGACAGAGAGTGTGTACAACATACATGAACGAGTTGGATTATTCAAAACAAACAAACAAAAAAAATCAAGGCTGACTGCATAAATAGAAAGCAATCACGTTGGGCATGATGGCACATGCCTGTAATCCTGGCACTCAGGAGGCTCAGGCGGGAGAATCGTTGGAAGTTTGAGACCAGCCTGGGCTATAAAATGAGTTCAAGACCAGCCTGAACTATATAGCAAGACCTTGTCTCAAAAAGACAAAAAAAAAAAAAAAAAAAAAAATCGTTGTAATACCCCCATATGAATAGCCTAAAGCAGAAACAACTCAAGAGTCTTTAATCTTACTGTTAAACATATGCTTTTATATGACCCAGCAATCCACTTATGGTAGAGAAATGAAAATTCACATTCACACAAAAAACTTAACCTAAATATTTACAGTAGCGTTACCTATAACTACCAAAAACTAGAAACAAACCAAATGGCCCTATATAGGTGGGTGGATAAAAAAGTTATGGTACCTTTATACAACAAAACACAATTCCACAATAAAAAAGAACAACGTACTGAAATGTTCAAAGATTTGGTTAAGTCTCTAAGACATGATAGTGAGATTAAAAAGACAGTTTCAAAAGGTTATACTCTATTTAAAATTGACTCCCTACATGACATTTTGGAAAGGAGGAAACCATAGTGACAGAGAGCAAGTGAGTAGGTGCTTGGCTTGCGGTGGGGGTAGGATACGACTACAAAGAGAAAGACAAAGGAATCTTTTGGAAAGACGCAGCTGTTCTTTATCTTGCCTGTGACAGTAGTTACACCCACCTACATAGAGAACTATCCCCCCAAAACAAGCCAAGGTCAGAGCAGCTTAAGAATACAGAAGCAGGAGCAGGGAGCTCTGCGGGCTTCCCCAGTGTTATCTGGAAAACTCTGAACTCTCTGGCCTGAAGGTTTTGTAGCTTTTATGTTTTTACTTTTTAATTTTATTTATTGTACTTTATTTATGGTGCTAAGGATTGAACCCAGGGTCTCCTGTACCATACAGCACTGAGCTACACCTCCAGCCATACCTGTCACTCCAATTTCCTTGTACTTTGGGCATAACAGGTGCTTAGTAAGTGCCTTATGAAGACACAGATGTTAACCACTACTCAACTGTATACACAGATGCTTAGGATAGTAGACAGTAAATTTTGTAAGAGTTTTTGGTTTGTTTTATAATTGTTATTATTATTTTTAAACACACAATTTGTGGCCTTTTCAAGCTCAGTAGAGGTCACCACTTTCAAAGTCAATATGAAAACCCATCTCCACATATTCTGTGGGACAAGTTGTATTTATAATGGTACTGCTCATAGTCCTTTGGTTTTACCTGCATTATTTAAATTTAAGAGGAACACATTATTTTTATCACACTGTGAGATTAAAACAACACTAGTTAGAAGTACTGCCAATGTAGCTGGGCATGATGGCACACAGCTGTAATCCCAGCACCCTGAAGAGACTGAGGCAGCAGGATGTCAAGTTCAAGTCCCATCTGGGTAACGTAGTGAGACCCTGTCTCAAAGTAAAAAGTAAAAGAAGGCCTGGGGATCTGCCTTAGCGCAAAGGCTCTGGGTTTACTCTTCAATAATCCTCATACTACCCCACCTCAAAACAAAATATTACCAATGTAAAAGTCAAAATTCAAGATGGGTCTAAACGAGAAAGGTATGCTTCTGGAGCACAGATTCTATTTTAAGAATGTAAAGAAACAATTTAAATTGTTTTCAAATTTAAACGGCTTTTAAACTACTAAGTTCTGCTCCCTCTTAAAAATATTTAACTTCTGGAGAAAGTTTAAAGTTGTACAATTCCAAGACCTGTATTACAGGAAAATTATACAAGATACCATTTGTAAAGGGAATCTATTTAAGTAAGTTCCTACAGTTTAAGAAAGTGAATGAACATCAAAAGGGGAAAAGGGATGCCAAAAAAAAAGTGAGCAAGCAAGAATGATACAGGTAGTAATTTAAGGAAGACTCCAAAGGTTGATGAGTCCATCTAAAGGCTGCAAGCAAGCACCGCTGCGTTACCTTCCCCGTAGTCCTCAGCAATGTAGCTGTGCTCATGCAGGATCTCCTCCATGCGGCTGAGCGTGATGGCTGCCAGGTGGCCAGGATACTTCAGCTGGAGGAGTCGCTGGAGGTACCCAGCTGCCTGGCTTCCTCCAAGATTGATACGCTTGCAGTTTTTGGCATCTAGCCTAGCACCAAACAGGAGAAAACAACAATGACATTTTTGGTGACATGGAGGACAAAATATGAAACATCCTGCGGTAAGTAGGAGAATTTAATGTAGACAGAGCATCAGGGAGAACATATACCTGACATCTGCAAAACACTCAAGTTCCCTTGGAACAACCTCTCACCCAAAGTGAGAACGCTCAGTCCACAGTTAGACACACAGACATCTGACTTCTGGCCAGCTTCAGAAGGCAATGAAGTTCAATAAAAGAACCTGCAATTCCCATTACAGGCCTAAAAAAGTAGATAGCATTTGTTTGTTTGTTTGTTTTTGCTCTTTTCTGATAGCATTTGACTTAAAAGTGGTACACTGCTTTATAGTTTACAAACTGCCACCACCCACTTCAATAAATTACTTCTCAAATTGTGGTACTGGGATCAAATATTGTAGAATAAGCTGTGAAAAATGGTAGAGCCAATTCCCATGGCCCATAAGCTCTGGAGTGCGCCAGGAATCTTCATTTTACCAAGTTTCCCAAGAGCCTCTCAGGCAGCCCAGCGCGGGAGAACTCCTCACCTACACAATCTACTTCTACTGATGTAGTTAAAGTAAGCAACTGCACACACATTAGTTTACTGTAACCTCTTAAGAGACAGATCCCTTTCCCGTGAACCAGATGAGAACCTAAATAACCTTATTTTCTTATGAGCAGCAGAGCTCTAGATTACTGCTGCATAACGAAATGTTGCTGCTATGTCACACCTTACCAGGAGATGCCAGCACAGAATAAGACATACTGCACTTTGATCATTCTTTGGTCTTCATGTAAAGTAATTTTCTCCCAATGTAACACAAAAATAACACATTACTCTTAATTTTTGCATTATCTACTTTCATTAAATGTAGACCTTCACACTTTAGGAATGTTTGGTAATGCCTAAGAACTACTTTTGTCTTCACAGATTTTCGTGGACCTTTCAGGATGTTCCATTAGTTTCAATATATTCAATGGCATTTATTTTGACTTAAACTGCCATTATCAACATTACCTCATTTCATCTCCTGAGTAACCTGAGAAACCAGGTTTCCCCCCAAATTTAAGTTAGGAAACGAAAGAAAAAGGTTAATGACTATTATGGCTTGTATCTAGATGTCCCCTCAAAGCCTCAAGCAGTCACTGGCAGGATTTTGGTAGTGGTTGGATCTAGGGTGTGTGATGTTGGGATGAAAGATGTGATGCTGGGATTAAGGATAAAAGTGCCACAGATGAAACACAGAAGATAGAAAGAGGGCTGGTATGGTCATTACTGGTCACTTGCTTGCTGCTTGCTGCTTATCCTGCTTTACCATGGACAGTTTATGCCCTGCATCCAGGCTACCCTGCCCTGGAGCCAGCCAACTATGAACTGAAACCTCTATGAACTGAGCTAAACGAACCTTTCCCACCCAGGCGTAGTGGTACATTCTCTAATCCCAATAAGCTGAGGCAGGATTGTTGTGAACTAAAGCGAGCATGATCTACCAAGTGAGTTCAAATCACCCTCAACTACATAGCAAGACCTTGTCTCAAAAAACAAATAAACAAACACATGTTTTCTCCCTTAACTTGTGGGTGTTGGCTGTTTTGTCTCAGCATTAAGAAAAAGACAAGGATCTCATCCTTAGTCAGGCTACAAATGCAGGCTTTAAACTCTAAAGCCACAGCTTTTTATGCAGCTTAAGAAAACTCAGGAGGATATAGGCTGGCCTAGTCAGTCTTTTTTTTTTTCTCCTTTCCTTTTTTGTAGTACTGGAAATTGAACCCAGGATCTTTGCACTGAGCTATATCCCCAGCTCTTCTAAGATTTTTAAAAATTTTGAGATAGAGTCCTACTAAGTCACAAATTTGTTCAGGCTGAGCTGAACTTGCAATTCATCTGCCTCAGTCTCCCCAAAGTGCCAGTATTACAGGTATGCAACTGGCTTTACCTCGTCTTTTATCAAACAATAAAAGTCAAACTATAAGATAGGAAGACATGTCTCTTGCCTTTTAATCAACTCAGAAATTTTTAGTAAGTGCCTATTATGTGTAAGGTACTGTAACTGAACAGAAAGGTATAAACACTGTGATTAAAGGCATAAATAAAGGACCCCAGATGAGAGATAGTCTCAAATTTATTGAAGTAACTAGTTGAAAACTTTTCCCCCCAGTGCTGGGAATCACACTGTAGGCCTCATGCACACTAAGTAAGAACTCTAATCACAGAGCTGCATTCCTAGCCCTATTCAAAAAATTTTTATTCCGTGCCTATTACCTGGAGGTACTGTGTTAGCTATCTCCCCATAAATCAGAATTACAAAATCCCATAACTATAGATTTAGACCTAAGAGACACGTGAACTCCCCTCAGAAGGTCATCAAGGTCAATGTACTGACATCAAGTGATGTACTGACAGTCATACAGTGATGCAGATCATGGCTAAGCCCAGCTCAGTTTGTAGTCTACCACTTGCTTTTTCCATGCCACCTTTACAGTGGGCACTAAACACGTGTTTCCTGAATGTGTCTCATAATAGCAATTAAATGCCACAAGTACAACTTACCTTCCTTCTAGGATGGGCAAAATATGTGTACACTGGTATCCAGATGAAATGATGAGCCCGCTGGAAATGGCATTCTTCGGCTTATTGTGGTAGAAGCTGAAGAGGCTGTCTATTCCATACACAACCTTAGGAATTCCATAACACTCAAAAAGGAGCTCGGACATCATTTGACGTGAATATAGTGGATTACACACAGCTTCTGTCAAAACTATGGGATGATCAACACAGCCCTACTTTGAAAGAAAAAGGCAAATGGATAAGTGATAACAGAATACTTTTTAAAACATAAAAGAATCTCAAGTCCTTATTACAGGGCAATGTGCTTTGGGTTTCTAACCAAAAACCTTACAAAAACAATTATAGCAGTCTCTACTGGAGATTGTTTTGGAAAATATGAAAGTAGGGTCAAATTTATGGTTATTGAGAAAAAAAGGTACCCAAACTTTGAGAAATGCATGTCAGTGCTATCTCTAAATTATCTCCAGAATCCAAATGGTACTTACCAACTCCTCTGGTACTTTTACCTAAATCACTACCATCCTTCACCTGGATTACTGCAACAGCCTCCTAACCAGTCTCCCTGTTTCCATGACAGCCCATTCTCATTACAGCAGGATGATTTTCCTGAGATATAAATCACAGCGCTCCTCTGGTCAATGCCTTACAATGGGTCTTCATTTCACTCAGAGGAAAAGCTTATGAGGTGTGTGATCTGTCCTCACATTAGCTCTCTAACATCCTCTTCCAGGCAGTATCCTAAGTACCCTTCCCTCTTGCTACACTACAATTACAATTACACCATGCTCTGACTGCATTTTCACTGTCCTTTCCCTCTGACCAAAATATTTTCCTTTCAGATATATGCAAACTGTTTCCTCAGTTACCTTTTTTGTCCCTGCTCACAAATCGCCTTCTTCACTAGTCTTACCAGACCATCATATTGAAAAAATGTAACTGCGTGCTCTTATCCTGACATAGATCATCTGTCTTTTCATACTAATGCACCTTTCCATACTAACTCCGTAGGCACAGTGTGTTCACAGATGTATTTCAAATGCCTAAAAATGTGCCCAACAGCGCAGCTGTTCAATATATATCTGTTAATAAATGAATAAGTAAACAACTACATATGCCCTATGTTTCAAGAAAAAAGAATTTTTTGGTCACTGCTGTACCCTACCTGCTAGTGTGAGGTCTACACACGTCAGGTGCTTAATATGTGATCGACCAAGTGACAATTAGAGCCGCAGTGACATCTCTCAGAAAGCGACAAAATAAAGACGAGATTTCACCTCTCCCCTCCCCTCAGCCCACCCCACCCTTACCTGCGAGGAGACACCCAGGTGCTGGAAACTGTAGTCGAGCAACAGCTCCTGCAGCTCCAGGTTGACCGGCACATTGCGGTCAAAAGGCGAGCGCAGCATCCAGCGCAGCGGCTCCAGGCTGCCCAGCGCGTTGCCCACCTGAGGACCCGTCGCGCCCCTCGCTCCGCCCCTGCCGCGAGCGCACACGGCGCGGAACTGCAGACGCGGCTCGGGACCCGGGTCTGACCCAGGGCACGCCCAGCCAGCGCGAACTTGGAACGACCCATTGTCCAGTACGAGCGGCACCGATCCGGGTGCCACCGGTCCGGCCTCCAGTACTGGGTCTGGAGCGGCACGGGCATCACGGAAAGGAAACACGTTCGCGGCCATCTTGCTTTGCGTCGGCCCCGCCCCTCGACGCAGCTGCGCTCTTACGCCACGAAGTCCCGCCCCTGGTGTGACGCGGTGCGGCTTGGGGCCATGTCGTGGTTCGAGTGCATTTTCTTTCCCAAAACTCTGCCAACCTCTCCATCTGACTCGCTCCTGGTAGTGTCGGTCGCTGCCGTAACCGCTAGGCCCTGCCCATCCTGACTGCGAATCTAGCCTCGCTTAATCTTGCTCCCTCTTACCTATGAGTAACACCCCTTCATTCTAACCGGGTCCGCAGCGAGGAAGCCCCGCCCTTCGCTCGTTTCGGGACCTGGCAGCTTTATTGATAGTTCCTCGCTGGTCCCGCCCGATCCTTCCTGGAACGCCCCTTCCCAAAAAGATCGCCCTCATAGATGGCTGTTGCCTTCAGGCATTTGACGAAACTCGGGCTCTGTGTTATTGACTGGATTTCCTGGCTTGCGGGCTCCATACACAGATGTTTTCACTTTGCAAAAGTTTATCAATCTGTCCATTTACGATTTGTGTTTTTTGCTTTTTGTTGTTGTTGAGACAGGGTCTCACTATACAGTTCAGGCAGGCCTTGAGTTCATTTTGTATCCCAGGCTGGTCTTGAACTCCAAACGATCCTCCTGCCTCAGCGTCCTGAGTGAGTGCACAGGGGTGCACCATCACTCCATTATGATTTTGCACTTTTTAACGTGTATGTTACAATACGGTATAAAGTTAAAAAATAAATTAACATTAACTCGCAGACTGTTCGCTCATTAAGACCTTAAATACTGAAAAAACAAAATGCTAATTGTTCCTTAATGTGTATAGTCTCTCTTTTAGTAACGTAACTCCCCACATGATCATCTAGCTAGATGTAATCAAGTCGCCGAGTTCTGAGGAATGGGGATAAGAGAGGAGGAAACATGATCCACTCCAAGTTTTAGCCCTTACCCCCTCCAAAGTATTAAGCAAATTTCCTAAGTCATTCCCCACAGCCACCACTGGGGAATGAACCTAGGGAGTGCTAAACTATATCCCAGCTCTTTTTTGTATATTGAGATAGGGTCTTGCTGAATTGTAGTCAGGCTTCAAATGTGAGATATTCCTGACTCAACCTCAACCTCACAAATATCTGGGATTAGATATGAGCCATCATGCCCAGTGTGTGTCACATGTTCCTTCTTTCTCTAACTGAATGGATAACAAGAATTAGAGCAGCTACCTTGAAGCAACCCTACCAACTTTGGGATACTTAATTTTAAGATATAAAGTTAATTAGCCAGGTGTGGTAGTGCACAACTGTGATCCCAGCTGCTCAGAAGACTTAGAAGAATAACATGTTGGGCCAGCCTGGACAACTTCATGAGATTGTCTCAAAAATAAAACCAAAAAGGTTTGAGATCCGTAGAGCAGTTCCTTCATGAGCAGTAGATCCTGGTTTCAATCCTTAAATCCCAGAGGGGGGAAAAAGTTAATTATAAAAGAAGATTGTTTACATTCTGAGCAAGAGATGAGATGCTAAATCTTTTTCAAGAATGGGGAAATGTTCCTGTACAACTGTTTTGTTTGTTTGTTTGTTTTTGGTGCTGGGAATAAAACTCAGACCTCCTGTCTGCCAGACAGGCATTGAGTCCACTGAGCTACATCCCTGACCTAGTCTTTTATTTTATAAGAAGTCATATTTTTATTTGTTTCAGATATAGTCATGCTGATACTTTGGTTAACAATGAATTGCATATATGCCATAACATTCTATCACCCAGTGACATGCCATAGCCATCTTAGCTTGTCCAAGTACCCTCCCTAATGTTTGCAAGACAAGATCACCCTACAATGCATTTCTCAGGACATATCCCCATCAATAATCAATGGATGACTTCACATTTTACTAAGCAAACCCTCATTCTCCACTAATTATATAAATATTGCTGCCATTTTACTTACATAAAATATTATATCAGTTTCTATTTCCTGAAGGAAACTGCCAGGCTAGATCTGCACCAGTTTGGCCAGATACCTTATCCCTACATCATGGTCATCCTGGGTGATCGCTTTTCCCCAACTGCAGGACTTTCTGACCTCATTTGTGTTGTATTCTGTCTCCTACCTCTTGTGTGCTTTTCCTTGGCTTCTTCACTTATTCACAGTAGATTCTGGAATATAAATGAGGATGCTGAAGTAAATTTTGAAATCTTAAATGTCTTTTAAATGTCTTTATTCTACCCCAGCGATTAATGGAGAGTCTGGCTGAAGTATAGGTTGGATATCATATTCTTTTAGAATTGAAAGCACATCCCATTTCATCTCATCCTGCACTAACCTCTAGTTTTTAATGTTGTTGAGAGAAGTTTGAAATTGACCTTTGATCTTTTTCCATGTGAATATATTCTTTCCCTTTGGAAACTGTATTATCTTTGTTTCCAAAATTTGAGAAATTCATATAGGTTGACATGGATTTTTTTTCATACCAAGAATCAAACTCAAGACCCTGTGCTTGCCAGGCAGGCACTTGTACAACACTGAGCTAAATCCCCAGCCTGACATGGGCCTATTTTCATTCATTGTGCTCAGTAGTTAGTGGTCTCAATACAGAACTCATGGGCTTCTATTCTAGGAGGTTCTGAATTACTGATGGTTCTTTCCGTTTTCTCTCTTCTGTCCCTTAGAACTATTATTTGAGGAGTAGACATCCTAGATGACTTCCCTAAATATACTTTTCTATCTTCTTTCCTTTGTCTCCCTCTTTTGGTTTGTAAAATAGTTGCTTTTAATTCTTTTGGTCTGTTTTTGGTTTTTGTAATTTCTGCACAATGTATTCAAATATCAGGTTGCTCTAAACTGTTATGTTCTTCAGACTGATGATTTACATTTTATCTTTCTTCTCTCCCTACTCTGTATCTAGAACACCTATTAGATACATTCCACTTTCTCACTCTATTTTGCTTTTCACTTAGACTCTCTGTCATAGTTTCTATGTATTTATATTTCTCTACTCATGCTGAGGTATTCATTCAGATATAGTTTCTATCTCTTCAGTGATTTTAAAATATCAATTATTATATTTTAGATGTAGAAGTTCTTTTTCAAAGAGAATTTTCAAATCTGGCTAGGTTTGTATTGTACTATTTTTTTCTTGTTCAATTACTAGGCCTTGAATAATTTTAAAGATATTTTTTCATAGTCTTTATCAAATTACACCATTATCTGAAATGCTTAAGAGGCTAGTACTGTATTTTTGTGTATCTACTAACTTACTATATTGGTGAGAGTCATACTATATTTTGCAACTTTTAATTATTAACTCATTTCAATGGATCTTTTTCTGTGAGAATCCCTCATGAGTTAGGTAGAAGGCATGTGCTGTGGAAGAATTAGTACAAATGCTTCTTTCAAATTCCCAAAAGTACATCAACTGGGAACTTACATTAAGTTCCTGGTTGGGCATTTCTAGACTGGGAAGATCATTCAGTTTGAATTCTAAGCTCATGTAAGGCATAGGCAGATGATTACTGTTATGGATTAAGAACTGGTGGTCAACTTAACGCCAGCTGGATTACATCAGCGAAGATGCTCCACCTGAGGAAAGTTGCCAGCATATATATGTAGTGAAGGAGAATGAGGGTGTTAAGGCATTAATGCATTGTTGCATTGTGGGTTCTCCTACAACTTGCTGTTTGAGCCATTGGTTCTCCTGGAGAAGCTCTGGCCCTCACTTGGAGCATTGCTTCCTGGCTCCAGCGGGGAAGATGTGGGCTGCTTGGTCTCCAGTATGAACTGGTGTCACGCCGGTTTCCTGGCATGTACCTGACTGTGCTTGTGGTTGGAGGAGCTCGGGAGCTCCATGTCGCTGAGGATGGCTGTGGTGCCTTTTTTTTTTTGTCTTTTTCGTTTTTATCTGTACTGGGGATCGAACTCAGGCGCTTATGCTGCTGAGCTAAACCCCCTGGTCTTTGTTGTGACTGTGACTTCTCAGCTCCAGTGTAGAACCCTCATCCCACCAGTGCAGCTCCTTCACCCCGCTGACATGGACTTTCTGGCTTCCTCCCCTGACCTTTGGGTCTTCCCGGCATGGATCCGTAAAAGAGACTGGTGTGAGTCCTTCTTGTTGGCTCTGGACTTCCAGTTGGACTCATGGGAGGCATTGTCATGAGCTCTGGGTTTTTATCTGGACTCATGCGGGACATTGCTGTGGGATTTAGGCCCTTGACTAAATATTCTGTCTTTGGTGTTGTAGATAGATTTCCTGCAGTTTCTTATGTCAACTCCCAGTGACCATTATAAAAATAATATTATAGGGGCTGGGGATTTAGCTCAGTGACATAAGCGCCTGCCTTGCAAGTGTGCAGTCATGAGTTAAATCCCTGGTACCGATATAAACAAAAAAGACAAAAAAAAAATTATAAACTCCATGTCCTGATTCTAGTTATTCTCTGCACAACCCCTGACTACAACAATTACCAATTCTCTTGGAAACTGGTTTTTCTCATAAAAGAATCAGAGAAAGAGTAGCAAACATCTTAATCACCTTCTGTGCCATGGAAAGATTTTTCACCACTCTTTCGGAAAAGGAAATGTCCCAGGAAGTCTTGGCTTTAACTGAGGCATGGTTCTGACTCTTCATGTCCCAATGTCAAGGCCTCGCTGTGTGTGTGTGTGTGTGTGTGTGTGTGTGTGTGTTACCTGGGACTTAACCTAGAACCTTTATATTGAACTACAACCCTAGGTCCCACCCCTGTTGGGGGAGAAGCTGCCTGTATCTCGGGTAGCTAGGACAAAGCCACTGCTTCCCATGAGTTTGGCCGGGCCCCATGTGAAGCGTGAAGAGCTCAGGACTCTGATGCACACAGTGTCTTGACCTTCACCTGATGATATAAACACTTCCCCTCTTGTTCCCTGTGAAAACCCCAAGACATGCAGCTCTGCTGAAGATTATTCTCCCAGTCCCAATCCTACCCCCCCCTTAAACTCTCCGTGAAGTTATTCCTATACTGATTGTATAAAGAATGCCCTGCTGGTGCTGGGCAGTCCTTTCTCCCTACTCCACCTGACCTCCGCTTTCTGCATCTTGTCTCTTGTTTTCTTTTCCTCATCTTCCACTGTCCTCCCTCTGGAGTTTCAAGAACTGCAATGGACGTGGCACACCTCCTTTTAACATTTTGAGACAGAGTCTTGTTAGGGTTGCCAAGGTTGGCCTCAAACTCGGGATCCTGCTGCCTTTAGCCTCCCAGAATGCTGGGATCACAGCACTGTGCCACCACTCCTGCTTCTCTTTTTTTTGTACCAGGGATCGAACTCATGACTTCACGCTTGCCAGGCAGGCGCTTATGCCGCTGAGCTAAATCCCTACCCCCACTCCTGCTTCTCTTGACTTTCACAGATATCAAAGCCCAACTTCCAGATTACTGATGACAATAAGCTAATTTCAGCAAATGCGCATATAGTTACCACTGTGGTGTCTGGCTCTCTCTTTTAGCTGCTTGCATCTAAGTATTTATTTTCCTGTTTTTTCTT